GGGGGCAACGCCAAGGGTTGCAATCCCGTTGCCAGTCCCCGGTCCGGTACGGGGGCAACACTGAGGGTTGCGATCCATTGCCGGACACGGAAAAAAAAAAAAAAAAAAAAAAAAAAGTGTCATGTCCTCTGTGGCTGAGGGTACTAATTATACATGTTAGCGAGTGTATTAAAGGCAAAGATGACCTTTCCAGAAACTAATGTGAAGAAATTATACACCATGCTCTTCTTCCATGTATGTTGGCAATACTGTTGAAATAACCTTCCTGGGTCTGTGTGTGAAGTCATTTTCACGAGCTGTCACTGGAATGAGCCCTGTGTTCATATGAATAGTCATGTCGCTATTTTTTTGTAACATTTTTTAAAGCAATAAACGTTTTGTATCCAGAAAATAAATAAATAAATATATAGAAGCACAAACAACTAGAGAATAAACAAAGAAACTGGACTTAATTAAAATTAAAAACTATTGTTCTTCAAAGGACACTATGAAGAAAGTGAAGAGACAACCCACAGAATGGGAGAAATTTTACTGCAAATCACATATCTGATAAGGTTCTAGTACCCAGAAGATATAACAGACTATCAATAATTAAAGACAGATAATTCAATTTTAAAATGGTCAAATGATTTAAAGAGACATTTCTCCAAAGAAGATGTACAAATGGCCAACAAGCACATGAAAAGATGCTCATAATCATTAGTCATTGGGGAAGTGAAAATCAAAACTACAATGAAACACTGGTTTCACACCCAGTAGGATGGCTATAATAATAGTAATAATAAAAAGACAACAACAAATGTTGGGGAGAATGTGGAGAAATTGGAACTCTCATGTATTGCTAACGGGAATATAAAATGATTCAGTCATGTTGGAAAACAATTCAATATTCTCTTAAATAGTTAAACGTGGTTACTTTATGACCCAGCAATTCCACTCCTAGATATATACCCAAGAGAACAGAAAACAAATATTTTTATATGTCCATATAAAAATGTGCACATAAATGTTCATAGCAGTGCTATTCATTACAGAAAACAAGTGGGAACAACCCAAGTTTCCATTAACTGGTGAGTGAAGAAATAAAATGTGGCTTTTTAAGATGGTGACGGGTCTGGAGTGGCTGTGCCAGGAGATAGCGCGACCCTGAGAAGTGTGCGTTGTGATACCAGAGTACTATTTGCATTTCCAAGAGCAACAAAAAAT